GGACATAAAGCCTAGTCTTTTGTCTTTGAGTTTGGAGGGGTGCTTCGCTAACTTTATATAAAGTTAGCAAAACACCTTATATCTAAAAAAATACAAGAGCGACAAAATTATTTTTTCCACGACTAATTAACGGCAAAAAAACGGCAAATTCATAGGTATATGCGACATTTTTTTCTTCATGTTGTTTCGCTAACTTTATACACATATGATATTGACTACCATTAGCTAACTAGTGCAGAGTCGATAATAATTGCTGTAGCGGACTTAAGCCATTATTACGCTCACTGTTATATTGTAGGTCCTCTCCAATTTTCAATATTTTTTTTTTTTTATTTAATAGTCCGAATCGAATCACGTGTTAAAGAACTGATTAATTCATTCAGACTGAATAAATGTAATTTATCACTGGTATGATAGGTCAAATTATTTTTAGCAAAATAATGCTAAAGTTAGCAAAATGAAAGACTACAAGTGATAAATAAAAATTGTTTGTGCAACGAAATGCAAATAAATTTTGATAATTTGCATAACTTATCACTTATCCGCTAAAATATTTTCGCTAAGCATTTCAAATTTTGGTGCAACGCTAATCTATGATTTTGAGTGATATTTTACTTATCAATACTCATTTGAGTGACTTTTCCTTATCTTGATGGTGAAACACAAAACTTTGCGCAAGTTCAATAATTTGCTAAAATCCTAATGATAATTCGTTGGTGCAATAGGGCCCAGATCCCCTGATAATAAGATATTATATATATATAGTAGGGCTTATACCTGCGTAATCGCCGATTGCAATTAACCATTTATGCTAAATTTAACATTTTACTATTTCAACAGGATGATAAATCTAGAAAAGGATATACCGGTTTATAATTTCTGTACATCGAAATGCAATCAGCTAACTTGGGGCGATTTCACAACCAAAACAACAAAATACGGTTTAATGTACCCAACAATCAAAGCGCTTTGGTACTTATGCTACGCGAATACGCCTAATAAGCTCTTACACATGTTGTCGATATTTTTCTTGCACTATGTACCCGCTACGATTTTCGATGTAATTTGTATGTGCTTGGGTAAAAAACCACGGTAAGATTCATGTCTCTATAAAATATACTACATAACTTGGACGTTACACGATCAAGAACTTGCAACTTAACAGTCAAGGCAAACAGCTGATCGCAGTTAGTCTGTTCCAGTACTCCTAAATTTAGTTAAAATGGTCCCGAAGACATACTGCAGGTATCAGTTGCGTTCCAGATGCTTCACGATTTGCAGGTTTTTACAGGAAGTCGTTCCAGGTGACCACCTCCCATAATGTTTATTAATGGAGAAAACAGTTGTTCCTGCAAATCGTGAATTTCGTGAATATCGTGAAGCATCTGGAACGCAACTATTATAAATGTGTGTACGGGAACGCGGTGAGAATTTTAAGTTGTTTCCTTAGCTACGGCATCTTGAAACCAAAATTTACTAGCAAGTTGGGTTCAGCGCACGTCACAGCTGTCAATTCAAATAAATTTTGACAAGCAGTATGTGTCATCAACTTGAAAGCAAGTTCTTGATCGTTGCCGGCTTTCCAGTTTTTTAACACCCTATTGAAAGTCACGACACCGGCAAACCTTGGTGTAAGTTCTAACTTCGGTGAGCGATGCTTTATTTGCATGATAATTTATTTCTATTTTGCCTTTTATTGAATAACACTAACAAATATTTACTTATTGCGCACTTACATTCGTTATTCGTGCTTTTTAGACTGCTAAATACTTACAAGAAGATTCATAGATTTATGCGCGTGATTGAATATTTCTCCATGCGGCAATGGGACTTCCAAACTGATAATGTGAGAAATCTGTGGCAACGACTTTCTGACAAGGATAAGGATATATTTTTCTTCGATATGACCCAATTAGATTGGGATTTATTTTTGCAACAATATTTTCGAGGGATACGACAATACTTATTACATGACCCGCTTGATACGATACCTCAAGCCCTTGTAAGATGGAATAGGTATGCTATACATCGAAATAATTAATGTGAGAACATCTGTCGTTAATATTAATATTAACATTTGTTTTTTCAGGTTATATTGGTTACATCAATGTATAAAAGTACTTGTTTTCATATTATCGGCGCATATCGCGTGGTTGATTTTCTCCAGATTCTTTTAACTTGAAAATTTCCTTGACGTAAAACAATAACTTGCTTGTTTACTAGAGTATTCAAGTAAGTAAATCATTTACATTAATAAAGATATCTAAGTACCAAAATTTTACAACTATTTTTACTAGGCATAACATGAAATAGAATACATATGCCCTTATTATCAACTATCCGGTTAAAGCATGGTCGTTTCCGCAGTAAGTTGCCGTTAAAATGTTGCATGTATAAGCGCATCGCTCAAAATAAATTTATTTTCAACATCAACATGGCACCATAAGTTTCCATGGGCTATCGATTTTACTACGAAAAAAGGCACAACAGGATTAGCCGTTATTTCGGTAAAACGGAAAATGTTGCAAATGTTGCGGTTTTTCCGCAAGCAATTTCCTACTAATTCAGATAAAAACCAGCATTTGCAATACATACTTTCAAAGTATAATAAGTATTAAAAAATATATATTATGGGCACTTTAGTGTAATTTTATATTTCTGTTAACGTATCTCTTAAATGTACTTATGTACACTTATACACAGGAATACCAAAAATCATTGTCTTATGCTCCATAATGTTAAAAAAAATATTATTTAGATTAATGAAAATGTCAGTATACATATAAAATATAAGCAATAAAGAGTCAAATGCCATACCGTTTTTATACTGTATCGTAACAAAGAATAAAAATGTGTTATCTTACATAAAATTATATTTGCAAGCATCTTCACCAACAACTTGAAAGCGTTACGCAAGGTTAAGCCATGAATCAACTAAACTATTTGTTCGTTCATGGGTTATGCTACGAGTGCTTGGCGTTGGTTGGCGTTACGAATGCTTTTTCCAGCGTGTTTGGCGATATTCCATTTAGAGCCGTTTCCACCCATGAACCAAAAATACGAGATCACGCAAGAAATCGACGTTGTATTTAAAACTGGTCTTGAGAAAAAAGTTTGCGAAAGCGGGTTCGTCAGCTGAGCATTTGTTTACATCACAAGCACCGCTATTTTGCATTTTTCTTTAACTAATTCAATATGACAAGACGTTTTAAAGCATTTTAATGCATAATTTTACCTAAATTATGCGTTTAAAGTGGCTGGCAATGATTTCGGTTAGTTTTGATTTTCGATGTTTTCATTGCTGTTTACTTTTCTTTCGTTTTCCAGCGAAACAAGATAGCGTAGAACCTGCTCAAAAAAATGTACTTTTTTCCTCCGGTCGCAAAAGAATGCACCTATTGTCCGAAAATTTCTTATCGCTCTCTTGGTCACGTCAGTATGTTCATTGGGCTACAAAAGAACACTCGCTTAAATGACGAAATACACGCAAAGCAACAACACAAACTCGGCTATTTATCCGAGCTCAGCCAGGTCGGTTAAAAAATACGCGTGAAAAAACCGGTAACGGCCAAAAAGTCTCTTTATATGTATATATGGTACGTGAGCAACACACCTTTAGACAACTTGGAAATTTGTTTGGGGTATCTTAGTCAGCGGCGTGGTCAACAGTGCAGCGAGTTACTGGATTTTTAATTTCCATTAGCAATGAACACATCAAGTGGCCAGAAGGAGATTATTTAAATGCAAATGTGGAACAATTTTACCAGAAAAAACGTATTCCTGGCGTGATTGGTGCGATCAATTGCACGCATATTGTAATTAAGAGACCAAAAGTACAAAAGGAAATGTACTTTAATCGGGAAAGAACATACAGCATAGTGCTTCAAGCTGTAGTCGATGCTAACAAAAAGTTCATCGATATAACTTGTGGAGAGCCAGGTCACTTCATGATTATAGAGTGCTAAGAAGATCCAAACTCTTTCAAGACGCTGAAAATCATTATGAGGAAATGTTTCCGAATTCATATTTCATCAGCGACTCGGCCTATCCGTCAACGAAATGTCTGGTGTCACCTTTCAAATACTATGGAAATTTAAATGAATCCCAGCGAAACTTTAACGAAATACATTCTTCTACAAGAATGGTAGTTGAAAACGCCTTTGGGTTGCTAAAAGGGCGATTTCGTCGACTTTTGAGGTTTACAGAGCAAACCGACTTGAAAGTGATAACCAACATCGTAGTCAGCGCCATGGGCGTCGCTAGGTAGGGGCAGGGGGGAGGCATATACATATATAAGTATACACGCAAACATTTTCAATAAGTAATGGTATAGAAAAACAACGAACTGTGGAAAAAAGCAAATATTTTATCCAACCAAAAACCTTTTTGTATAAAAGGGAAAATATACGACACCAGCTTGCTGGCTCCATTAAGTGATTGTACCATCATATAACTTACCAGCATGCTGGTACAGTATTTATTTCTTTACAAATGAGGTCGAGGAAAGATCGAAATGAAATCGATCGAAATTTTGTAATTTTTCTACCATTTTGTTAAACATTGTTTTTTTTTTACTTCACAACTGCAATATCGTGAACATGATCTTCCACAAACACGGCTTTGACTCATATAGTGCAAGAAATTTCCGCCAAAATACTTTTTACTTAGAAAATTGAGCTAATTTCACCACTCACGACACCAGCAGCTGGTACAATAACACCGCAAGAACATACACAGTCAATCGACTTGATGGGCCATTTAACAAATTAAGCATATTAAGGGCCGTAAACTTATCTATTTTAAGTTATAGGTATATATATCAGTCTTTCTTAGTTTAAAAATTCATCTTACATAAATGAAAAAAAAAATAATAATTAGATTAAATCATAATGTAATAAACAAAGTGAAATCAATATTTGACGTACGCTTATTTGAAAATTTAAATGAAAACAATTCGTATATTTGTTTACATTAACCCTCTTACGAACTGAATTCTGAGATAGGGCGTTCTTCAACCAAATTCTGTGATAGGGTGTTTTTCAATATTTTCAATATTTTTTTTTAGAATTTATGCGAGTTGCACTAGAAATTTCTTGATTTTCTCGATTTTAGCAAGTAAATTAGTCATTAAATCTTATTTTTTTTTGTGAATAACTATTTGCTGATATTTGCACATATAAATAGTATTGACGATAAACCGCACTTGGCAGTGCAGCTGCTTTGTCTCGGAAACAATATGCCAGTACGCAGAATGTCCACATCTCAAAATATTTTCCCATATATGTAAGTATATATATGCACATTAAGATTAAGGATTCTTTCTCAAATTAATTACTGCAAATCAAGACCATCTATTATTACTAAATTGGCGAAAGTATAAATTTTATGCGATACTTCACATCTGTTTGGCGCACTGCGGTTGTAGTTATTGGACGTTATTTTCACGATATGCCTTTGCTATTTATGCCTTTGATCATTACATATGAAATAGTAGGTAATATCTTTGATGGTACTGCATCTGGACCAAGGCGTCTTCTCTTGGCATTAATACTTGCATAAATGATATCATTCGGTTTGAAGTGCAGAGCACAAACTTTCTGATCCCGTTAGTTTAACACCATACGCATTCATCCAATCCCTTCCTTGCGTAACATCTGTTGGCACACGAAACATACCTACCTCATTGTTGTCTGTGCTTCTGCATAAACAGCAAGTAAACAAAGTAAACTAAAACAAATATTTTTTGATTTGAAATCAATTTTTTTTTTTAATTAATTTATAATGTTGCTAGTTTCAAATGGGTTAACGCAATGAAAAAACCGTTGTCATATAAGCGTATAAAAAATAAATATGTCATATATTGATTTCACTTTGCTTATTACACTATGGATCAAATTAAGCATATACGACTTTTTCATGCCAAGTATAAGTAAATTCTCCAAAGGGCTAAAAAAACGGCTAGGAGCAATTTTAAATTTATGTGGCCAAAAAAAGTATGTGGTAGCTAAATCTAGCCACCAAAGGGCTAAACGGTCTTCATATATCACTTTCAAACATGTGTAAGCGACATGATATAAACTGGCACTTGCATGATGTGTTACATGTCGCTATGTTTTGTAGTTCAGGCCTTTAGTATCTATATATAATCGCTCAGTCATATGTACGACTTAGTTAAGCCGATCTGTAGCAGCCACAGAATTGAGCTATATATCAAACTAAAGTGCAAGCTGCAGTTGCAGTTGACCGTGTTTGTCAAAAAAGTAAAAAGCGGCAGAAAAGTCGATAGTGAGTAATATAATCTATTGAAAAATATTAACCATTTTTCATAGTTTTGAAATATATTTTACGAAAGCAAAAAATAAAAATAGCTGAGATCCCATTCTTTTTTGAACACCTAGGATATCACTGACCATTAAAAAGGACACTGAATGACCGCAAACCTCAAAGCGTTGCACATTTTTGTATGTGATTTTTAAAATGAACGATCCAAAATTAGCCGGTATACATATTTAAAATTTTTTAGAACCAGTGGTTGAATTTTTGTACTGAAAGGGTTAACCCCAAAAGTATAATCTACGTCTGCGAGGCGTATACGGAATGGGTATTTTTTAATTTTAACACAAAATTTGCTTTTTATTTTGTTGTTTTAAATAAATGTGGTTATATTTTTATTAATGAAACTATGATTTATTATAAGTCAAACTCACAACATCAATATTCTTTACAAAGTAAGGCAGGACTAAGTATATTTTAACTCACAGGTTATCTTTTAAGTACGCCTCTACGGCGTATGTTAAGGCTTTACTTTACTCCCAAATAGATTAGGCATCTAGGGTTAAGAAAGCTTTAGTTTGAAAGTGTGATATTAAATGCTTTTCGCCATAAAAGGCGCCAATTTTCAATGATTATTGCGTTGCAGATTAAGACTAATACCAGATATTGTGAAAGGTTGGACTATACCTTAAAGATGACGGTTTTCTCATGGCCCACTGCACGAAGCTTAGGGTCTGATTATGCATACTTCGCATAACTTCGCACATCCATTTGTACCAGTGCACTAAAAGTGTAACTTAAGAAAATGTGAAGCAAAATCTACGCTCAACAGATCGCTAAGTTTTTAAAAGTTCTGCTAATTTCTGGGTAATTGAATACATACAAAGTACATACGAAATTACAGTTTGAAGTTTATGCGAAGTTATGCGAGGTATGCATAATCAGACCATTAGAGTGGAGTAATGTCTTTTAAGAACTTAAAAATTATCCTGGGTTATCAGGTCCAGCAATACAAGATTAATTGTTGTCTTTCACGAAGTTCTTTAAATAAATTTTGAGCTAAGTACTCACCCATATTTCGGGGGTTGCTACTAGTTTTAATAAATTGTTACTTTAATTTCCTATAAAATTTACCTTTAGGTTTATGCATTTTAAGAATACATCGAAAATTTGTTTTAGAGAATCAATGTGAAATAATTGCAGAAACGATTAACCGGTTTTCTGAGCAACCAAGACGTCTGCTTTTTAAATAATTTTTGTAAAACAGATCGGCAAGTACATATCGTCCCCCGCATGCCAGAAACATGAATGTGTAGACGAAAATTTTGCGATTTTTTTATATGTCGGACCTCCCCCCCCTAAATTCGATCCTGGCGACGACCATGGGCAGCGCATGTGTTTTGCATAATATTTGCATCTCTTTTGATGACTTCTGTGTTATCGACAAACTAAATGCAGCGATTGCCTTTGCTCAAGAAGAACAACAAAATGAGTCTAATATGAATGAAACGCTTTTTAATTATTTAAGACAGCAGCGTATTATTTAAGTAATTCATGATATG